GTATACTCCGAAACATACGACCCATTAGTACTTGAAATGGTATAAACAGCACAAGTATTCCCATTCCCGCCAAACACGCCCACCGCAAGTGTGACCACAACAGGTATAACACAATCGCCGTCTGCAGTGGCGCCACAAACAATGATCGAGAATATAATACAAACTATTTTCACAAAATAACACCAAATAATTAGTAATGGTTAAAACTACTCATTATATAATACATCATCAAATCTGTTGACATCGTTGGACATAATGTTCAATATCTGGCCAACAGTTGTCTGTCGAAGTGATGAATGACTTAAACGCATTGACTATATATACAATTATATAAAAGTCTATTAAATAAAAATTACATAACTATAGACTCTTATGGGACAGACCTTTCGATAAATGAGGGCACAACAGGCGGCACGGATTCTGGCACCAACTCTGTGGCAATTCGGTATTAGCGAGTCGTCAATAAACATGGTGCCAATTGACGCCAACACTATACCCACGGCCGCCCATATGGCCCAACACTGGCTAGTGTTGGGGTCTTTGTTGAAATATCTCACTAAATAAACAATACAATACGGCCTAAACAAGTTCAACCCAACTTCCTGTTTGATTACAGTAGATTATAATATAAAGTTTTACATTAAATTTATACTAAAAATCCACATTTGTAATAAGTATTTTACAATTAAATTAGTTTATATTATAAAGTTACTTGATTTTCAGTATAAATTCAATGTAAAATTTTATATTCATTTAATTATATTATTACAGTATCTAGATAAGTAAACTACACGATAAATTGCTATCACTACAGTATTACTAACACGGAAACCATACAACTTGTGCGCGAGATAATTGTATTTAATTCCGATATGTGGTGGTACTGTAGAATGTGAAGAAATAAAGTGGTCATATGTTTTTTTTCGGGCTAATAGTTATAAAATGAACAAAGGGAAGGGTGCGTAACAATAGTTATAGCATTAACAATAGTAACTATACTTTAATAGCGTCAGGGATATAGAGGACAATGATTTCTGGTCCGAATGATGCGAAAAGTGCCCAAAATAGCGATGGCTTTCCTTTACTTTTCAATTGTTTATCCCATTTGCTATACAAATACATACGAAATATAGATATTATTTTAATTATGAATAAAATCTGTAATTTTTTGGGTACATTTGCAGCTTCTGTCGGACCCGATGTGTCTCATCTGATTTTGGGCAGCGGTAGAGATCACTGAACTCGAGGTCCTTTTTGTGCGCCCGAATGAATAGACTCCACAACCAACTAATTAATATAATAAATACATTACAATTCAATATATAATGAAACGTAACTTAAATAATAGTAATAAATGTAACTAAATGACCCGAATGTAAGCTTCGAAAGTATGTTAATGCGATCCCATGGGCTCGGAATAGTTACCAATCCATCGGTTACTTCCATCCTATTATTTTTAACTAAAATTCAGATTTAACTCTATAGTTTATGAAGAATGTAGTTTATATGAGCTAGCAGCTTATGATATTGTGCCAACAGTACCTGTTGGTTATTTGCAATTATTAACAGGTTATTACGTTCATTCAATGTGACACAAAAACAATTATTTTTGAGGAGTATAACACATCATAATTACTATTACATGCCGTATATATGGCGATAAACATATGAGCCGTAAGTATAAAGTTTCGCTAGAATTGATTTTATTAATTATAAATTGCAATTAATTAGTAAAGTTATTGGATATACAGTATCCATATGTACAGTATATTGTGTGATATGAAAACTTGATGTATTCACTCTTACACACCAGAAATCAGGTTTCATAATAATGATCGAATGATTAGTCTGTAAAATAATTATATTTCGATATTATATTTATAAATTTATTTTCAAATTAAGTTCTACATAATTAACAAAAAATTATAGACATAACGTGATGTACTTTACAAACTTTTATATTATGAGTACAATCATGAAAAGGTTATTATATTGTTATTTGTTGGGTATTAAATGCAAATGCAATGAATTTATTGTAATGTAATACAAATAACTGTGTTTAAAACTAAGTGTCAATGTTAAATAATAGCATTAAATAATAAAACAATTATATTGATAATTAAAATTAACACATGCTTAAAATTATAATTTAACTCACATTAATAAAAACTAATTCTTACTCGTTAGTGTTCGCTGACAATAATGATAATGTATTATAACTTATGTGGTATTCATTAACATAAAACTCAGCAAAACTATTATATTTTGATTCAAGCAATTCATTAGTATTTAACACTTTATAAATTTTGTTATTAATTAAAACGGGAATTATTTTATTATTAAAATAGCCGATACAAGAGTTTAATCGGGGTAACAATATCGTAGAATAGTCCCATTGTAATCGTATGGGAATTTTAGCCACAATCACACCATCAGATGTTTGGCCACAAGAATACACAACACTATTGTTTGTCATAAAATAACACATCAATAAAGAGCAGCAAATAATATGAATGTCTCTAAGGGCTGATATCATCACCGGTTGGACCACTTCCTCGTGGGTCAAGTCGTGGCCCAAATGGTTACCACTGTTGTCACCCCAACTGAATACCAGTCCTTCATTGGCTGTTATAACGTACGAAGAGTTTATAAAACAATATATAGTTTTAATGACATGTTTGCCAATAAATGCCAATTGCACCGGGGTAGAAATATGGCAATTAACCACATCATCGCACCCGATCTGACCCATTTCGTTGCGACCCCAGCCATACACCCGGCCATCGCTGGTCAGCGCCAGTGTATGACTGCATCCGCACGTGATTTGTATGACATGTTTGTCGTTAAAATATGCAATGCTTTCCGGTTTGAAGTACGGCTTGTTTTGAGAGCCTGTGTCCGCAGGTCTGGCCAATTGGCCCCAATAGTTAGTGCCCCAGCCGTACACCCGGTGCCCGCCTGTGATGGCTATTACAAAGTTCAAGCCATTGGCAAATGTTTGAACGCCTTGTTGTGATAGTCCGGGTATTAATTCGGGCGCCGGTATTGGGTTGTTGTGACCCAAACCTAAACACCCGAACCGGTTGTCACCCAAACCGTAGACCAGATCGTCGGTCGTCACGAAGAGTGCGATTTTGTTGAACTCCCTTTCGTTAAACACGTGAAGTAATGAGATTTTGGGTTTGATTTGCGCTCCGATTTTGTCGCATATTTTAAATTTTTCTATTAATAAACACATATTTGTTTGAAATTTTGTTTTAATTCAATTATTCACTAAATATTATATTTTAATTTCAATTTAATTTTAAATGTTTCTTGTGTTATTGTTTTGTATTTTATTGTGTTAGTGTTAAGTAATATTTTTAATCAGTATAACCAGTGGTGATAATAATAATAATACATTTATGATTTACATTTATGATAACTAGTGTAGTTCTCTGCCAACAGAGAGAGAAAGAAAGAAAGAAAGAAAGAAAGAAAGAGAGAGAGAGAGAGAGNATGTGGTTAATTGCCATATTTCTACCCCGGTGCAATTGGCATTTATTGGCAAACATGTCATTAAAACTATATATTGTTTTATAAACTCTTCGTACGTTATAACAGCCAATGAAGGACTGGTATTCAGTTGGGGTGACAACAGTGGTAACCATTTGGGCCACGACTTGACCCACGAGGAAGTGGTCCAACCGGTGATGATATCAGCCCTTAGAGACATTCATATTATTTGCTGCTCTTTATTGATGTGTTATTTTATGACAAACAATAGTGTTGTGTATTCTTGTGGCCAAACATCTGATGGTGTGATTGTGGCTAAAATTCCCATACGATTACAATGGGACTATTCTACGATATTGTTACCCCGATTAAACTCTTGTATCGGCTATTTTAATAATAAAATAATTCCCGTTTTAATTAATAACAAAATTTATAAAGTGTTAAATACTAATGAATTGCTTGAATCAAAATATAATAGTTTTGCTGAGTTTTATGCTAATGAATACCACATAAGTTATAATACATTATCATTATTGTCAGCGAACACTAACGAGTAAGAATTAGTTTTTATTAATGTGAGTTAAATTATAATTTTAAGCATGTGTTAATTTTAATTATCAATATAATTGTTTTATTATTTAATGCTATTATTTAACATTGACACTTAGTTTTAAACACAGTTATTATTTGTATTACATTACAATAAATTCATTGCATTTGCATTTAATACCCAACAAATAACAATATAATAACCTTTTCATGATTGTACTCATAATATAAAAGTTTGTAAAGTACATCACGTTATGTCTAAAATTTTTTGTTAATTATGTAGAACTTAATTTGAAAATAAATTTATAAATATAATATCGAAATATAATTATTTTACAGACTAATCATTCGATCATTATTATGAAACCTGATTTCTGGTGTGTAAGAGTGAATACATCAAGTTTTCATATCACACAATATACTGTACATATGGATACTGTATATCCAATAACTTTACTAATTAATTGCAATTTATAATTAATAAAATCAATTCTAGCGAAACTTTATACTTACGGCTCATATGTTTATCGCCATATATACGGCATGTAATAGTAATTATGATGTGTTATACTCCTCAAAAATAATTGTTTTTGTGTCACATTGAATGAACGTAATAACCTGTTAATAATTGCAAATAACCAACAGGTACTGTTGGCCAATATCATAAGCTGCTAGCTCATATAAACCACATTCTTCATAAACTATAGAGTTAACACTGAATTTTAGTTAAAAATAATAGGATGGAAGTAACCGATGGATTGGTAACTATTCCGAGTCCATGGGATCGGATTAACATACTTTCGAAGCTTACATTCAGGTCATTTAGTTACATTTATTACTATTATTTAAGTTACGTTTCATTATATATTGAATTGTAATGTATTTATTATATTAATTAGTTGGTTGTGGAGTCTATTTATTCGGGCGCACAAAAAGGACCTCGAGTTCAGTGATCTCTACCGCTGCCCAAAATCAGATGAGACACATCGGGTCCGACAGAAGCTGCAAATGTAACACAAAAATGATAAATTATATTCATAATTAAAATAATATTTATATTTTGTAGTGGCGAACTGTTTTTTACTTTTGACCCTCTGGGTTAAAACATATTTGACTTTATTATTTGACCCTGGTTAATCTATTGACTCTTTGACGTCATTGTTGTCATAGCAATTTATTAATATTTGTGACTGCAAGTTTAGTAACTTTAAAAACACTTATAAAACTTGTAATTACAACTAATTTACTAATTGTTGATAAACTTAATTAAATAATATAAAATTTATTTTTAGTTACAAATTAAAATTTTTGCTTGTGCAACAATGGCCTGAGAGGTCAAAAAGTTAACTCAGGTTAACCCGGGTTAAATGCAATGTTGACTTTTAACCCAATTAGTCAAAAATAATTTTAACTTTGACACAGATTAACTCAAGTCAAAAGTTAAATCTGAGTCAATATGGACAACACTAATATTTTGTATGTATTTGTATAGCAAATGGGATAAACAATTGAAAAGTAAAAGAAAGCCATCGCTATTTTGGGCACTATTCGCATCGTTTGGACCCGAAATCATTGTCCTTTATATCCCTGATGCTATTAAAGTACATAATATTTAAAAACTTTGAAAACAAGGTTCACACAGCGATTCTATACGTTAACCACAATTCGGGTGGTGCTTAAAGAATAGATTAACATTATCTACACATATAATAATAGCCCATAAAATTATTTCCTATGTTAAACCTATGTCATAGCCTAATGTTGTAATTCCATAAAAACCCATAGGATATTATTATTATTATAACATTGGCCCCAATAGTTCAATGCATCAATACATTAATACACATATGAATAATACCGTATTAATAATATTTATTATTAATACATCATAGTAATATAATTATACTATAAATATTCTTAAATTAGTAGTAAGTATTTTTAGTTGATTTTATTTATAAAGCATTTATTCGAAGGTAAATAACTTTAGTAACTATTTCAATGTTTTGCTAATTTTATACAGTAATAATGGATATTTTTACAAAATAATTTAGTTGGTAATTAAATATATTTAGTATTGAACAAATATTTAAAAATTTTAATTTCATATAAATTCCCAAAGCTAAACTTTACATTGAATTAATATACCTTTTCAATAAATTACGTAATTAAAATTATTAAACAAAAGTTTGAAGCCGAATAACTTCAAAATTATTATAGATTCAATGTTATAAGCTTCATATTCAAACTCGACGTTAAATTTTAAATAGAAATTATGGTTGATATTATTATTTTTATTATTAACATAAATAACTATATCATAACTTTTTATCACCTTTTAAGCAACTTTTTAGTCATTTTAAAATAACTTTTTAGGTACCTAAAAGGCGATTTTTATCACCGAAAAATCAATGCTTTATTTATTTATATATTTTAATCAAACAGGAATTGGGACTGAACTTGTTTAGGCCGTATTGTATTGTTTATTTAGTGAGACATTTTAACCGTGACCCCAACACTAGCCAGTGGTGGGCCACGTGGGCGGCCGCGGGTATTGTGTTGGCGTCCATTGTCCACATGTTTATCGATGACTTGCTGATACCCATGTGCCACAGAGTTGGGGTCAGAATCCGTGCCGCCTGTTGTGCCCTAATCTATCGCAAGGTCTGACCCATAAGAGTATATACTTTTGAAATTTTTATTTATCTTTAATAATAGACTTTTATATAATTTAATTAAAAGTCAATGCGTTTAAGTCATACATCACTCGGACAGACAGGTGTTGGCCAGATATTGAACATTATGTCCAACGATGTCCATAGATTTCAAGAGGTATTTTGATATGAATTAAATACTGATAATTAAACGTATTTAATTAAATTAAAATGTTTTTAACCCTGGTATTTTATTTTGAGGAAATAGTTTGCATTGGTTTCGCGATCATTATTTATGGCGCCACTGCAGGCGGCAATAGTTTTATACTTATTGTGGTCACACTTGCGGTGGGCGTGTTTGGCGGGAATGGGAATACTTGTGCTGTTTATACCATTTCAAGTACTAATGGGTCGTATGTTTCGGAGTATACGTCAAAAGACGGCCGAATTAACCGACAGTCGAATCCGTTTAATGCAAGAGATTATCGC